CCCCAAAACCCCAAAACCCCAAAACCCCAAAACCCCATGCATTAATTTTATTATAGAATTAGTTAAAGCAGTTAAAATGAAGAAAATGCGAGTTTCCAAGCGTATCTCCCCTAAATTTCAGAATCCTACGAAGGTGTCATTTCATACTAAACCTGAGCTAGTGTCAAATCCAAGGTCGTATCAGAGCCAAAAAGTTAGTAAGAGAAATTCACCAATATCAAAAGGTAAGACTAGACCAAATTTTGAGAACCGCCTTCGTATGTTACATTATTGCTTATTCCTATTCCTCATCATTTTTGGGTAGATAAGGCAGTGGAATATGAGGAAATTGATCCACAAAGTAAGCTCTTTGATTCTGATATATTAGAGGAAGGTATAATTGAGTATGAAGAATGCCAAGATTCAGCCCTCACTAATCCTAAAATGAGAAACAAAGAATATGCTACTCTTGACCTCTTGTCAAACAGCGACGATCAAAATGAAAGACAAGAGTCTCTCTACACCCAAAATATAGATGAGAATCCTAATAAGCTCGCCAATGAGGAAAATGCTCGGACTACTACTGAAGAGGATATAATGATGTTCTCTCGGCCTATTTATAATTTTGGTCATCCTCCTGAATCTAGTAGCACAAAATATATTGGAACTACCACTACGAAGGAAAATCTTGAGACTGGAAGTACGAACATAAAGCCAACAACCGGAAACACAGGTAAGGAAATATTCTTATTATAGATGATTCTAGAGACAGAATAGATGCTGTGAGAGAGCCTCGATCTGAAGTTAATCCTCTCCATGAATATGGCTTGCTTTCTAAAAGACGACAGGATTCTGCAACAACAGCAACTTTCGGGAACAGACCTTGGAACTCAAAATCTGCTACTTTCAATTTCTCCAAAAACAAAGAAGATGATTTTATGGAGACAGTTGCTAATGCCATTGACTTTTTCTCTGATAAGGTTGAGAATAAAGGTAAGTTCAAGAAATCAAAAAGTATGTAACTAGTAATAGAAGAGCAAAAATCTAACAGAAGGTATCAGGCTAATCTAAAGCCAACACATCATTCTAGAAAGAAGGAGACTGTAAGATCAATTGATCTTGGCTTGAATAAAACTATTTATAACAGGAATCCTCCTAAGGTACTTCAAATTATGCTATTTTAGATTTTATCCCCTCAAGTAGAAACAAAATAAATTTGGACTGAACAAGAAGATGACTTATATTGAAACCAATGAGCCACAAAACAAAAATATTGGGCAGTATTACTACGTAAGCATTTGCATTAAAATGACACTCAAAATTTACACTACGGGTTATATAGTCCAAAGAGCATTTTCAGGAAAACTCCACTGCTAGGTTCAGACATGATGCCAACAAGTTATTAGAAGATAAACAGAGGGAGAGAATTTGTACTGAAAATAGCAATATGAACAACACAGGTAATTCACTTCATAATCTTCAGGGTACGATAAGCATTATAATTCTCCAAAATTTCCAATGAGTGATACCTTCTTTGACAAAAATAAAGCATCTGATGAAGAGTCAGCGAGGGCTATTCCTCCAATGACTAACACAAATATTTCGTCTGACAATTACCTAATGGAGGATAGCATGAACATGGCGATGGATAACCAAGAAAAGCCTTCATTTTGAGACTACAACAAGCTGCAGTATGAGTTTTTCAAATTGAAAAATCAGCATGAAGAGCTTAAAAAGAAATACAAGAAGACTAAAGTAGCCCTTCATCAGAGTGAAATAAATAATAAAGAATTGAAGATCTGCTCAAAGTACTTTGAAGACCTGTATAATAAGGAAAGAAGAATCAGAAATGCAGAAACTGCCTTCAAGAAGATTCTAAGCGACATGTATGAAGAAGAGCAACCCTATATGTCAAGCGATATGACTAAGGTATTTTCATACCATTCCAAGCCGACATCTCCAGAACCGAAGACAACTTCTCATAAGAATCGTCAAAAGCAGAAGAATACATCCGGATTGGAGCTAAGAACTGAAGATTTTGGGTCTAAGCCAATGAGTCCGCCTACCATCAGGACAGATTTATTTTCAAACCACAAGAGCATCAAGAACAAGGCTAAAAGGTAAGTTTCTTATAAGCACAATTTTTTATAGAAGTAGAAGAGGGCAGCTAAACCTTTCGATGGGAAATCAGTCGAATAACTTAAATTTCTCAAAATCAGGATCCAAAAATAACTTCTTTTTATATAAATAATCATTCTCAGCTGAAGGTTAATGCCAGGGGTTTTGGGGTTTTGGGGTTTTGGGGTTTTGGGGTTTTGGGG